ACATTTTATATCGCATTTTGTATTTTTACAGAGCAAAAATTATAATTTATTTCATCTAAAAATATGCATTAACAGTTTTGGCAAGTTAATTTATTGTAAGTTCTGACAATTTCAGTATTTAAGTGCTTGTGATTAATTCCACAAGTCTTGCTATTAATTCATTAAGTGCTAAAATTTTTTAAAGAAACTTTTGTGAAGGTATGCAAATTAAATACATGAAAACCATTGAAAATATATTAATATAGCACTGGAATGTTCGATAAACGGCAAAAAATACAAAGAAGCAGAAGAATTTGCAGCAAATCATTTACTTTATCAATGCAAAAATGGAGAAATTAACATAATTGGTAAAATTTAAATTGATTAAACAATTAATTAAATTTTAAAAACTAAATTATTTTATTGGGAAAATCAAAAATTTATGTAGTTTATGAAATATTTGAATATTTTTATTTCTTATTTTCACCTAAATGACTATTCATTACCTTCTTCCATTCATCTAGGCGTTTAAGATTATAGTGATTTATTATCAAATAGTAAATCAATAAAAGTTTTATCAGTATTTGAATTATTGATAATTTTTATTCAAATTAAATTGATTTAAAACAAATACAATGTAATGTGGAATTTATTCAGTGAAGTAGTTGAATCGGTCATAAATTCTATTACTTAAATTCTTTTATATTCACAGAATATTTTTCAATTTCAGGATGTTACATAACTGATACAAAACAAAAGATAAAGATTGGCGATGTTATCACAAAATGGAATATGCTATTCAAATGTTATTTGTAAGTCTTTCTAAGATATTTAACTTCTGACAAAAGTAATCATTAAACTTTATCACTTATCAAAGTTATTTGTAAAGCGAAATTGCGCGGGCATTTTCAGCTTTTCTTATATTAATTATTGAAAAAGATTTAAGTTAAGATAAATCTTTTCTTACTTGAATTTTAGGCATAATAATGTAGTACAATATGAAGAATATCCTTGTGGTTTACCAGGTACACAAGCATGTGAAATTCAATTAAATCAACGTTCACTTAGCAGTAATGTACCAGTAAAACCAAGCTTTGGGGCATTTAGTATTGCACAGGTTTAGTTATAATATTTTTGCTTTAATTTGTAAAAATAAAATTTGAATTAAATTACACAATTTTTAAAATTAATGCAGATTTTTGCAGAATTCGTTCAGCAAGATGAATCTAGTTTTTACTAAATTTACACACAAAAAAGTTATGGTAAAATCAAAAGAAATGAAACAAAATAATAAACTATTCATAATAATTTTCTGATTTCTATATTATTTTCTTAATAATACATTATTAGTATTAGTGATAATATTATTAAATATGATATCATTTTTATTATTGTACTTTTAATATCTCAACTACTGATTCCTTTTATTTTGATAATTGCTAATAATTTTGATTTCAGTATATTTATCGTGGTAATGATAAAGTATTGACAGGTTCCAATACTTTGAAATTAGAACTATCGCGACCAGATGGTTAATTTTTTCCGTTACAATAAAATTGACACGAAAATTTATGCTTCGAGTATTCTGAATGAATATAATTTGTAAAATAAGCAAATGAAATTGTTATTTTTAAAGTTAAAATATTGTTTATCAATTGTAATTCATTTTTTGGTATAATAGCTCATCAAAAATTTGCATATTTGTTGATAAATCTTTATCAAATATAAATTTTAACAAAAAACTTTATATTTTTTCATTACATGGTAACAAATAAATTTATGAAAATCGCTAAAACAATTATTATATGTATTTTATTCTTTACTCCACTTGAAATTTTTGGTTCTCCCCAAAATAATTTTGTGTTGATTGTTACAGGTACGCAACTGTTCCCTACAGGTATATATCCTAATTTGCATATGCACTTATAAGAACCTTTCAAATTTGCGCATTCCATATTTTCTAAAAATTATAAACATCAAAAATTATTATCCAATTTTTAATTAATACACAGCTTTTGAAGTTAGAATATGGAAATGAACTGAAGTAATGAAGTTAGACAAAATAAATTAATAAATTAGAAATTAACCTCCTTCCGTCTCCTCGCAGTTTATATACATACATTCATTAATATCTACACATAAATTAACATCATATCTGCGAAAATTTTAATTTAATTAATAATTAAATTAAGTATTAAAAAAAGCTAAAAATTAAAGAAATTATTTGATTAGAAAGCAGTTTTAAAACAAAGAAATAACTTTATGAAAATTTAAATGTTAAAAAACAGCATTGCGATCGAATAAAAAGTGAACTTAAGCAACAAAAAATTTTAATGAAATCTGATTTTAGACATTTATTAATTATGAATTTAGGCAATCAATAAAAATGCAATTAATATACCGAAAAATGTAGCCTGGTTCAGGGCAATCACATGTAATATTCCATTGATTTCTATACATTCCTACAAGGTCATCATTATAACTTGATATAAATTTGCAAGTACCATTCTGTGGACAAGGTGAAGAACTGCAATTATTCACGCAAAAACTGCAAAATTTGACCATTTAAGTCCAAATGGTACCAAATAGATTTTTAAACAAAATTATTGCTGAATTAGTTGTAATAAAAAATTGATAAATAAATTTTGTGCCAATTTTCATTCTAATAAAAATTGCATAGTAATGAATAACAATAACTTGCAGTAATTACTGCCTGCTTTGATATTTAATTAATTAATAACCTAGATTTTGCACACTGAAATGGTTCAGTACCAAAAGCTTCTGAAGATGTATTTACTTTATCATCAGTGAAATTCGATTTTGTTGCAATTATTTTGTTAGGCCACTAAAATTTGAAATCTTTGATACCACTAAAATTGTTATTGAAAGGTCAAAAGGTTCAAAGTTAATTTGGTACATTAATAACCTATTCAAATGTTTTCATCTTTGTACTCACATTATTTTCAATAAAATGCAGAAAATTGTATGAAATTACAATAATTATGTTAGTTTGTGAAAGTTTAAAAATTTATAAAATTAATAAAACTCAAAATCTGCTCTTTACGCTGGGATTCGTTTCGTCCATCAGAAAGTACGTCCTAATCAAAACTTCATTTTATAGAAAATCATTGATAATTCTTAATGCATTTCTAAATTATATCTATTTGCATAATTAGTTTGTTTATTTATTTATTCTCAAAATTATCACATTTGTCCATAATGCATAAACTTTTAGTACTAATTTAACTGTCTAGTAAATTAGGACTTTTTACAGTTTTCATATAAAAAATACTGACAGTAAATGCGGATATCGGCTGTATATCGCAAAATGGTAAATTTTCAAGAAGTTTAATCTCATTCATTGTCATCCAACACATAAAATAAATAGCAGAAAAGTCAAAATCAAACATTTCTTGATGGATTAATCGGCGAACTTCGCTTTCTCTTAATTTTACAAATTTTATTTTTATAAAAATAATTCATTCTTGTAATATAAATTGTCTTTAAAATATTTTAGAGATTAAATGAGTCATTAAATAATAATTTCTGTAACTGATCAAATAATGATTGTTATTAATTAATGCTTATTAATTGGGACAGTAGTTCATACAGTAATAATTTATACAATTATAGCAGTTGGATTTATCATCTAACTAATCTAACAAGTCAGCAAGTTAGTTTTACTTGTATATTAGTGAGATTTATCATGTACTAGTAAAGCTGACTTGCTGACTAGTTAGATTTAATTGTGATTGGCATCAAAATACAGTAGAGAATTCAATTATATCAACAAGAAATATAATAAACCGAGATCTACCTTATGATAAATTCATCATAGATATCAGCTGTAAACAAAAATGAATTTCTCATCTTAATATTAGTCCAAATCGTATCGATACATTGCTAAAGTAATTTATTAGCTTAAGTTTAAATCTAGAGTATTTCTTAATTTAAAGAAATATCAAAGTAAAAAAAAACATTTGCCAAACTTTTCGAAATTTCACATAATAATTTAAATGTTTCACATTTGCTTATTTAAACTTATTTTTGAATTATTTTATAAGTTCCATCTATTTGAACGAAAATTAATCTGCAAATAAAAATGGAGTACATGCGAAATTTATAGTTGATTTGAAATTCATGTATAATAGATAATTACTTACTTTAAATCCTTGTATGCATGCTTCATACAAATCATCAGAAAAGTTAATCTGCGGGAAGCTGTAGATAAATCTACTTTGAGATGTAGACGGCTGTTCAATCCACATCCGATAAATTCGAGAATAAAATGCCAACTGTCCAAGAATATTTAAATAATGAAGACGAAGAGATGTATCCATTGAACTTATTTCTCTCAAATTTCCAATTTTCATAATCAAATAAAACATAATAATTACTTTTATTACAGAATTATGAATTTGTTATTAAAAAAACCAATACATTTGTAAAAACCCTACAATATACTATCCAACAAGTTATTTATCAACTATTTAATCTCAATTTCTATCTGCTTAGACTTGCTTTTTTATTAGATTGGTTTACAAACTCTTGCTTCTCTTCTACTCATTTTTCTTGTTTACATCCTTCTCTCATGACTACTCCACGTTTATTTTCAGATGAATGCAAATTCGGAAAAACACACCTAGCGTATTTCATGACTAATTCACGGTTGAATTCACGCAAGAACGACTTTTCCACACTTCGCTGTCCCTCACTTGTTCGATATAAACTTGTAATTATCAAATGCATAGTAATAAACGATAAAGAACTAAGTGAAATGCACAACCGCACATGTCTTGCCATCTTGTTAAAACTGCTTGCTCGCTCGTTGCAACGAATATTAACTTTATTATTCTACTGATAACCTCTGCAATATTCAGGACAAACGTTAAATGTCATCGAATCCTTAACATCGAATTTATTTGCGATTAAAAAATTCAGATGGTCCCTTAGGAATATTCTTGTTATGTCGGTCACTCTCACTTGCTGCCTATTCAGCTCAATTTAAATTATGTAAGAGACATTAACAATAATATAATATGCAATGATCAAAAAATAATCAACATTTAACAACTAAAAATTAATAACAATTAACAATACCGACGATAATACCTTAAACTTCTGACTAGCATAAAGTTATGATTCAGAAATCAGAATCTTGCCGATTCATTTTTCAGTCGTAATTACATCAGGTGATACTATACAAGTAAACTCTACTGTACACTTTAGTATTATCAAACTAGTGCAAGTGATAATACTATTAATTTAAAACTGCTTCATTTATGCTGCACTCACCACTCCTGAATATTATAAATAATACCAAGATTTTCTCTCGCAACAGAACCGAAAAACAATGTTTTTCTTAATCAGTTTCCTTATACTGCTACTTCGAATTAAATAAAATTTGATTTCAATGATCACAATGAATAATATTTATAGAAGCGTCAAGAAAAAGCACTCTACAATTATGTAACATTGGCACATCCATGATAGATAAGTTATTTACAACGAAAATTGCTTATCCACCCACTAAGTTTATCTTACTATGCTTTTCAACATTGAAAAATATCTTTCTAATGCTAAGCCTTAGTGAGAAGCTCGAGCTCAAAAAATGGGGAGATTTCCTCGAATGTGCTACTAAAAATTCGCCAACTGTAAAATTAGATTGTTATACATTTAATATCACATCTTAACATATCTATCATGCACTTAGACACAAGGCCATAGAAAATCATTTATACATAACAGAAAAGTGAGGGAAAGCTCTTCATCTCCTAAACATCAAGATGAAAAAATATATGATGAGGCAAAATAACTTAATAAAAACTGTAATTTAAGGAGAAATCTCCGCTGTTTTTTTCCCCCTGCAAAGCAAATCTTTCAGTAATACTATGTATATTATCAAATACATCACGCAATTTCAAAAAATGACTAACATAAAAAACGTGAGAATGTTAGTCAAGTAATAAAAATCAATACTGCACCATTAATCATGCAATAGTAATTTTCAGTTTATGAAATAATAAAGCCAAAACTTTCAACCTAAATCTTTAGAAGAAAAACCGAATCTCTGTATTAAATTTCATAAGATAGTTATCTATCTTGGACCGTTATTTAGTAGAAGCCAAGAAATGATAGTAAATTATACTATGAGTCCTAATGTGAGAAACACGAAAAACTACAAGAAATGAAAATGCATAACGCTAATGAAAACACCAAAAACAATCAACATGAAAAAAGACGCTCAAGAAGATAACCATATTACTAACAGGAACAATATTCTTAGTAATAGTAATAATTAAAGCCGTACCAAAAGTAGTAGTAACTTATAGCTTCAGCAGCATCTGTAGTACAACCATGATTAGTGGCAAAACATGTAACTGCAGAAAAAATAGTCTAAAAAGGAACAAAAAATTCCTTTTCAATTACAGCACTACACAGTTCTGATAAAAAAGCGCTGACAAACTTAAAAGTAATTATCTGATCAAATGTATAAAAATTAGCACTCAAAAGAAAAGAGCTTTAAGAAAAGTAAAGTACAGCAGTACTTATATGAAAAATCCGTATAAAAAGCTATTTTATGAATGAAACAGATCCATCCCTAGCACAACAGAATAAAGAAATGAAATGATTGAATTAAGTACAGAAAACCGAATGGAGCACAGAAAATGAAAATCATCACTGATTCCTGAGTAACAGTGGTCACACCACTCACGATAAAGATTTATGCTCGCCAAAAATTCAATAATAATGTAAGAGCTTACTAATGTTGATCAGAATCATCCCACCCTACCCACTAAAAATAAATGGTGTTTCAAATGAAAAAGATTTGTGCTTCTCAGAGCTGAGAACCTCAACTAATGACTATATAAAATTAGTGAAATTAAATCCATGGACAAACAAGTATGAAGAGGAATAATACTTTACAAGGAAGGAAAATTCTAATGACAACTTTTACACTATTTCTATCATATTAAAATTGCTCATAAGGGGGTGGTGCATCTTCCACCTCAATACCCGTTGACGTGGAATCAGCTGAAGAATCACCTGAACGGATTCCATCGGTTGATGATGAAATATTCCAGTGAGGTGATAATGGCTGTTGAGGATGCAAAGCTCTGTAAATATCGCCAACATTTTAAATTAAAACATCCATGGTACATTATTCAATCCAATTTTTTGTTTCAGTTTTCTGCAGCAACTGCTTCCCATCGCGTAGAAGCATCAACTTTCTTTGCACTCCAAAATATATTACAAAAATACAAACTCTGCATGATCTTCAAAATTGTGCACAAATCTTACGAATGAGAAACATTAGTTGATTCGCTTTCTGAATAAGATGGCGGAGGCGGTAAACCGATATTTGCCAGTAGTTTCTCACTAAGTGATATGGATGTTCCTAACGTTAAATCTTCCAAAATCTCTAGAAAAATGAGTATCAATAATCTATGTGTCATCACAGTATTTTAAACTTACTGATTCAATGTCAAATATTACATTTTATCAACAAGAAAACTATATCTGTGTAAATTATATAGTCATAAGATTTTAAAATAAATATATACATTATATACAAGCTTTGCAATGGGAACCTTTTGGAATAAGTGGTGCAGTTTTTTTAGGGGTAATTTTCGATGGTTCCCGTGCGGAAAATGTTCCATCGTGGTTTTTATCATCAAATGAGGGTCCAGCTATTCGTGAATTACCGCCAAATACGCAAGAAGAGCATCCTTCACTTGAAACTTCAGGTACAGTTCTCGACATATCCTAATTTTTGAAAAAATGAATTTACCTTACGATGAGTTCAGTTAAAATGATATAAATTAATTTACAGCAAAAATTAAGGACATATTAAAGAACAGTAGCTTCTCAAAGCAGCCTAATTTATAAAAGCATGAATAATATAAAGACTAAAACATTAAACTTTTTCAAAAATCCTTTAATGCATTTAATTTTATTTTTTTTGCTTGATCTATGATAAACTTGCAAAATGAATTCTTTTTTTCTAAGACCATGATTATTGCTTTTAATCATATAAAACGGACTTACATCGAGATAAGTGTCTTTACCAAGACTATGATCATTGCTTGAAGAACATTTAAAGTTCGACACAAACGGATTACACAGTTTTGAAAGAAATTCACAAAACTGTTCATAAATTTCAACTATGTTATCCCCTCTTTCAGTCTCAGCGGAGGTGTCTAAATCATCATGACGCTTGCTGTAATCATACATATTTCGCTTCGCTGACTGAAAATAATTCGTCATTATATGATTTCATGAAAGTCTTTCAATCATAAAAATATGTGACACTTCTAAGTTACTTATATTTTCATTAAACAACTTGTTTACTGGAGTACAGTGAAGTTTGTCGACGATTATCTACTAGAAAATCAGAACTTACTTGAATAGCAAGTTGCGATTTCAACCACTCCTTCATTTTATGTAACTTATTGCGTATTTGCTCGTTTTCCGCCAGCACCTTAAATTAGAAAAAAATGAAATTTTTTCAAGAAAGTTAACTGATATACCCCAACCTGATTTCAGCAATAGGCACAGAAATTATTAGACCTTGCAATGACTTATTCAGCAGTCATTATAAAAATAGCAACGGTGGGATACCTCGACAATCCCTGGATTGTTCGAAGCAACGTTTATCAGCGTCCGAATCAAATGATATACTTTCCATGAGTGAATTTCCTTTTGGGTAATCATTGTCGGTACCAGACCTTTGTACTTCTGAGAACCACTATCTCAAATCGTCAAATTTTATTACGGTATACTTAATTTATCAATCAATGCTAAAGAAATGCCCCTTTAGTATAAGGTTGAAAAAAATTCGCTTGCTTTAATAACTTAAGAGATGAAAGCTCAGACAAATGAAATAATATCAAGATCATTATAAGCTACTGAATTATTTTTGCCTGCTTACTGCACTTCCAATATGAATGCTAAAATAACCGTTGCAAAAAAATCATACGTTTTCAGTAAGAAAGTGGATACTTAATTAACTCTGTTTGCTGCAATATTTAAAAAGAATGACTTACCAAAACCTAAAAGAGCCAAACGTTGTCGTTCCTTTCGTACTGAATCGTTAATTTCAATAACACTTTCAATAACAGCAGTTGCATTTTTCACTTCATTGGAAGTACATGAAGACTGAAAGCAGAAAAATTTGTTAAGCAAAAAATAACTTTGCTTTTTCAAGCTTTCCGAGATGACATCTGTTCGTTTTTTTTCTTGTGCTTTGTTCTTCGTGATGAGGATAGTTGGTTGCTTTAACTATATCATTGTAACTCTGAGGTTTTGAGGTATTTTAATAGGTTTTCCAAATACCAGTTTTTTTCTGTTACTATCATGTGGGTGACTTATGTATTTTTGTGTGTTCTTTCTTAATCACTAAAATCATGCTGAGTTTGAAAAAAGATAGAAGCAATCTTCAGATCGTGATACTTTATCGATTGTATTCTTTTAGGTTTATTGCTGATTCTTTAAAAACTATACCTCGAACGAAAAATTATACAGGAAGATCTTTGTGAAATGAATATTTTCCCAGCATAAATATAATATAGTATCTAGAATCACTGCACGATCAGTATGTAACTCCATTAACTGCTTGAATAATCTAAAATTTTACATGAACACCATGTTTAAATAATTTAACGCCATACAACCTTACTTATTATCTTCCAATGTAAGAACATTAGAAAGATCAAAATAAACTGAAAACCGATGCAAACACAAAAAAACCTGTTGATGAAAATTGGTTCATTCATCCACTGTACAACGTCTAGAGGTGCTTCAATAAGACCACCAACTGTAATCGCATGTGGATTTGCTTCTGCATTCTATAAAAAGATGTTGAGATTATTCATAAACTACTCACATTCTGTGCTGCGCATACGAAGCAAAAATTGTGAGTTCACTGTTCACGATTTTTATCAGTATATTTATCTCAAAAAAATTAATGACATGCTATATATATTTATTAACTTCTTACTTTTCCTTGCCACGAAAATCTGCAAGTTCTGAGCAAGAGTGAAATCACTTCATAAATCAGTTTGACTCGATAATCGTCTCGCGATATCAGTACTAAAAGAGAATACAATGCGCCTTTTCGCACCAACTGCTTTTTCTAAAAATCTCCTAATTATTAAAATACTGAATTTAAAATCTGAAAGTTTTTTCTACAAGAAAGAACATGACTATTTCACAAAACTGATATATATATATA